GGGGTCATATACCTGAACTACTCGAATTCCTTGAAACGAGGCCCGGCGTTTACAACTTCGCTATTTTGCCCCCCCCGTAGACCATGCTCGCAGGTCAACCCCAAGCGATGTCCTTCTTCTCCTGACGCGGGAGGGAGCCCCCGAGCTCAGTTTCGCGGCCAGGTTCGGAAAATCAGGAGTGCCCTCTTGCCCAAAGTCCTCAATCCGAAACTGTGTAGCCTTCTTTCCCCCTGTACTACTATGAATTCCGATGAAGGCTACATGAACCATTGTACCGGGCTCATGTGGTCCCCAATGTTGGCCCCTAAACCCTAAAAAAAACCTAAGCCCTAAACTTGAAACCCCTCTCTCTCTCTCTCTCTCTCTCTCTTTGGTTTTTTTGGACGGGTGCGGGGGGGGGGGGGGGGAGGGGGGATCCTGCCACCGTCCCTGGGGCAAGAAATGGCGCCATGACATAAAAATCGACCAAATTTAGCTATATACATACATTGTTCTTATCCCGAACATGCAGCTTTCTCGCTTTCTGATCTCACGTCAGATCGGTTCACCGAGGATCAGGCCTTTCCCTTGCCGGACGCCTTCTTCTCCTGCGCCCAACTTGCAAGGTTTAGGGTTTAGGACCTATAGGGTTTAGGGTTAGGGTTGTGGTTTAGGGTTATGGTTTAGGGAGCAGCTGAACGTGCCAGGCCCAGAAGGAGCCAATGTGGCCAACGGTTGCATGTGCCAACCTCAAGAATCACGAAGTCTCCTTGGAGTCAAATCTCCCAAGCTGCTGATGGTACTCTGTCAGAGTCCCTGTATCATAATACTAGAATAACCCCCAATACTATATTCTGATGACTAAGGCTCCCATATTAGGCCAGCGGGTCTCCCACAATCGCGACAAGAGGAACCCGAAAGTTGAGACCCTGTACTACGATGACCCCGGCTAGGGTACGGTGTGCAAACATTTACACATGGACCGCAAACCCGGTTTAAGGTTCATTGTGTCCCCAGGGTAAGGTAAGAATCTCTCTGCCCCTAAACCCAAAAAACCCTATAAGCCCTAGACCCCCAAACATCGGCCTTGTGACTCGGCTTTTCGTTGGAGGCCTGTGCGAACTCGCACAGTACGATGCATGGCCGTCTCGATGTTCGATTGGCCCTCTATGCTATAAGTCTAGGGTTTAGGGTTACTATGAACTCTATACAAGTTCTTTCGTTTAAAAGTTTGTGTGTAAAAAAATGCTGCCACAAAAGAGGATCGTATACCCCACAACACTATCAGGCTTTCAAAGGAACTCCTCAAAATCCGTACGCTTCCCCCACCCGCCCCCTACCATCTCCCCCCCCCCCAAAAAAAAACAGCGCCCTGGGCTCATTGACCCTTGACCTACACCTCCCAACCCGAAAAAGAAGCTTGATATTCCCTTGCGCATTATGTTCCCTAAGGAAACTGCTTAAGACAACCCCCCCCCCCCCCCCCAAAAGAAAAAACAAGAAAAACGACTGCCTTTGGTTTTTGTCAGCATATAGTAGGAAGCGATGGTAACCCTAAACCCTAAACCCTAAACCTACCTAACTCCCTGATTGGGGGGCCTCCTTGTCCTTGGGCTTGGGCGCCGGTTGGAGGTGGGCCAAGCGGGCCGAGTCCTTCCCGGGGTTTCGGAGTTTAGGGTTTCGGAGTTCAGGGTTTGGGGTTCAGGGAGTTTGTTTGTTTGTTTTTTTGGGTTGTTTTGTTTTTTAATTTTTTGTGTTTAGGGTTGAGGGCTTCGGAGTTTAGGTTTAGGGATTTGGAGTTTTGGGTTTAGGGCGAAGGGAAGGCCTGTGGCTTAGGGTTTTCGAGGGAAATGGAAGCTGTCTGACTTGGCTGCGACTCATGGAAGAGACACGAGGTAGCCGAAACCCTAAACCCTACTCTCCTGGATCCCAAGCCCTAAACCCTAGTCTCCTGGATCCTAAGCCCTAAATCCTAAACCCTAAACCCGAAATGCTACTCTCCTGGATGTCGGGGTCCTCGCCGCTCGACGCGCTGCCCACTGAGGGTCTTCGCTCCTTTGAGGCATCGTACAGGGAGTCTAGGGTTTAGGGCTTAGGGCGGGAAGCTCGCAGCACCCTTGGAGCGCATCAAATTGAAACCTTTCAAAACGAAAGGTGCCTTCGCTGACATCTATACCTTATGATGTCGCACGGCATCAACTACCAAGACTACCCACTCTCATGCAACTTCGGCCATTCGTGCGCGATATATATGAAGCCTGGACGGCGGTTCTTTCTGCTTCGGCAGCTTCCTTGCTGTCCTCAGGAGGAGGAGGAGGCGGCCAAGAACCCTAAACCCTGGTTTCGAAGCCCTAAACTCAAGGCTTTTAGCCTTCGGAAACCCCGACCCTCCAAAATAAACTTCTTTCTTGCAACATCCCTGGGCGCAAGCCACTGAACCCTATCAGCCCTATAAACCCTACCTTAAGAACCCAAAGCCTACTGCTTGGTAGGCTACCCAAGAATCCGATAAGAGATTTTATCATCAGAGGCTACAAACAAGTAGGTTTTAAGTTCTTACGGCTTGGCATAAACCCAAAACCCCAAAGCCCTAAAAAGCCCTGCAAAGCCCTTGGAGCTAGCACGACTTTCTTCTCAAAAATGTGGTCTTTTTTTGGGGTACCCTGTAGAAGCGGGGCCGCCTTAGAATAAGGACCCCCAAAGGGACCGTAATTTGGAGAGCTACCTGTATTATGGTCCGTCATGAGCAGGGGGACGACACTCTCGAAGATTCCTCACATGGCATGCTGCTCCAATCTTTGCGCGGGATATCGGCAACCCTTTTGACCCCAAACCCTAATGCCCGCCCGAACTGCCGAACACGACATACGGCGAACCGCCTTTTTGGCGTCTTTTTCCTTGGGATTCTTCGCCTCCCAGCTCCAGGGGGGACGGAATGCAGGGTGCATAGCTTAGGGGGTGTTGATGAGTTGATTGATGACACATATACCCCACCATAGTTGAGATCTCCTATGGGCATTTCCCAAAATGGGGCCTACCCCTTTGAAACCCCAAATAGAATCGAATCCCCTTAAAGGGACCCCCAAAAAGGGTGCCCTGAGTTTCGGAGACCCCCCCCCCCTCGATGGAAGTCTACAAGGCTACATTTTGGATTCCTATGATAAGACGGCACCTAATTTTAAGGTACCTCAAAAGGGATCAGAATTTTGACAACCACCCATCTACTCCATCATACTTGGGACCTCTTTGATAGTCTACAAGGGAAGATGATCCCAATTTTGAGGGGTTTCTTTGGTGCCCAAACGAACCCGGCTGAAACCAGGGGCTCTCTGAGGTGCCCTATAGCCCTATAGCCCTTTTGCAACTGGACTCCTTGCTGCCAGGGTGCCGATATAGGGCTAAACCCTAAACCCTAAACCCGAAACCCGACACCCTAAACCCTAAACCCTAAACCCTAAACCCTAAACCCTAAACCCTAAACCCTAAACCCTAAACCCTAAACCCTAAACCCTAACCCAAAACCCAAAACCCAAAACCCTAAACCGTAAACCCTAAACCCTAAACCCAAACACTTTTTGTTGGAACCCAGGCTCAATCCTCTCCAGCTGGAAAGTCTGTCACACCCGTGCTCTGCACAAGATGCTAAAGCCTAAACCCTACAACCCTATAACCCTTTTACCGTAAACCCTGAACCCTAAACCCTACAACCCTGTAACCCTATAACCCTCAACCCAGTAGATGCCTTACCCTCCTTCTGGCTCTTTGCCTTCTCTTTCGCCTCCAACCTCAGGGGCTCCGCTATGTTCCGGGTACATGTTATATATATATATATACATATATACATATATATATATATAGATGGGTTTGTTCGATAACGGGGTGTTGGGATCAGGGAATGTTTCGCGGGTATGTTTCGGGGTACGTTTCGGGGGTATATTGGGGGCGTGGTTCGCGGCGTCATGAGCTACTTTACCTGCATTTTAGGTTCTTTCGCAAATGTAGATGCCAGCGGGGAGCACTTGAGGAAATCTGTCGAGCAAGCCAAGATGCGATGTGGACAGGTTTCCAGCAAGAGTGCCAGATGTATGCACGTAGGAGCCAAACAGATGAGGATGTCACGTTCTGCTATCAAAGGCAGAACTTACATACGGCTAGAATGCACAGCACTGCAACATTTCAGCAGCTTCCAATCACAGAGTACACTACACTGAGGTCCCCAGCTCCTTGCGCTTGCGGAAATCGATCATCTTCTGCCGCCTCTCCTGTGGCACTTTCGACTTCGAGTCACGCATGACGGTGCTGCAAAACGAGTTAAGACCAAGAGAATCCAACCGTGACCCAGCTCTGAAATCGTCTTTTGACTCGAGCCTCTTCTTTCCGCTGATTTTCTGCATAGGCGGCCCCTGGCAGGGGCAAGCAAACGGGGTTGTGATGGGTCTGTATTCATGGGTCTCTTGAGCCAGTATAGGGCTTGTATGGTGAGGTTGGTACGCCGGCGTAGTGTGAGATACAGAGCATTTGTCAAGCGCCAGGGTCCCGGCGATTCGCAGCATCGTCAAATGGGTCGCCAGCAGCTAAGTTCTTGGCGTTCTGCTCCTCAACACGACTCTTCTTCTTCTTTCTTTCTTTCTTTCTTTCTTTCTTTCATGGGGCTCTCTCGCTCTCTCTCCCCCCCACCCCCCCCCCCCAAACCATTAAGTAGCCAAATGATAGCATTGCATGTCCTAGATACATGATGAATAAGCAGGCTTCTTTCCCCTGTGTTGCTTGTGCCTCTGCCTTGTTCTCCCCCAAACCAACCCCTAGCTGCTCTAGCTGCCTCATTACTCCAACTGCACCTCCGAGTGAGCAGTGACCTCCATACACAAACCCAATTAATCTGAACAACCACCCCTGTAAGGACATCCCGCCCACCCCACAGCCCCCAGAGACCCACATTGTCGGCTCTAAACGCGGAAGGCGAGGGTTTAAAGCAGCTGCGGCAGTTGCAGGCCCTGCTGCACAAAGGCAGGTCTGGAGTTTCAGCTCACAACCTCATCATCACGGACAAGCTGAGCATGCTTGACCCCCAGGAGGCCTGCGATGATGGCCCAAACAACCACCCAGCCGACGGTAAAGCTGCCGGTGAAAATCGGGTTGAAGCAATTCGGCTGACAGGCCTCCTCCTCACGATTGACATGGAGGTTGATCAAGGCCTTCGTAGCCCAGTAACCCTTATTGTAATAAGGGCACCCTGTTTTGGTTGGTTACTTTACAAGGGAACCCAGAACCAAAAAGAGGGTAGAGGGCACCACTGGGGCTGCCAAGAGGCCCCAATGGTCTTCTGCAGGAAGTTGCCGTACATGTCGGACCAGCTCTTAGCCTTGTACTTGATGCTCTTCGAGGTGCGGACGTAGAGCATCTCCCTGCTGGGCCCATTCAGGGCGTACTGGATCACGTTGACCACCACCAAGACCGCTTGCACGGTCCAGAAGTTGTGGTAAAAGCACACGAGAAGCACGGAAATCACCATAGCGATGGGTAGGGCCAAGAGCGTCAGCAGAAGCCCCCCGCGCTCGATGAGACTACGAAGGCCGAACATCGACAGCAAGCCCGTCCCGATGGTGTTGGCGACGTTGCACCACGCAAAGAATGCCGTCTGCCGGTCCTTGTTGCCAGGCACCGTGTGGCCATCTACTTTCCGCGGCCAGCGCTCATTTGTTAGAGCGGTGCCCTGGTAGTCCAGAATGACGCGAGGTACGAGATGGGCGCAAGCGATCCAGAAGATTCCTGCAACGAAGGGACGGGAGAGGATCAGCGCGATGCCCTCCACACTTTCCCACAACTTGCGGACCGCCGCGCGGAGCCCCACCACGCAACCGTTCCTCTGCACCGTGCCCGCGAGAGGCGCGCGTGCCTCGTCCATGCCTGTGCCAGCCACCGGCTGGAGGGAGGTTTCGAGCGCCACTGGGTCTGGGCTCGCCCTTGCAGCCAGCCGACAAGCAAACCAAACCAATGCTGCGATGAGAGCCAGCGCGGCAGCCTGGACCACCAAGAGTCCCGAGGTCCCACCGACGCGATGAACAAAGGTGGCGTACAAGGAGCCTGCGAGGCCCCCGACTTGGCCGGCGAAGACCAAAGCTGGATAGGCCACCTTCGAATACTGAGTGGAGGAGAGGTCGTTCATCACGCTCCAAAGCATCACGGGGAACAAGACCGACTTCGTGTTCGTGGCGTAAAACAGGACCCAGGCCAGCCATGGTTCAATGTGCGGCCGCATCAAGGATCGCACGGCAATGAAGGTGTAAATCACGCAGTAGACGGTGCAAACCACAGCGACCAAAAGCTGAGGACTTCGGAGAGCCGCCCAAAGGAAGTTGTACAGAAAGAGGATGGGGAAAAGAACCAGCGGAAGGTACGTCTGCGCGACAGGCTGCTGGTCGACGCCCACAGAGTCCACGAAGGTCGAGATGGTAGCTGGGTTGATCATCAGACCTGTGCCCAGTACCTATACTGCCCTTAGAACCTTAATAAAAATAATGTGTTTCATATCCTCTTGAGTTTTATATAAACAAAAATAAAACATAATTCCCAAGGGGGGTGAAGGTACGAGCATGAGGGCCAAGGCGAAGAACAGGTACGCGACTCGCCATTCGTTGGGCAGCTCTCGCAGCAGCTGCCTGTCGACCCAGCTGGCTCGGGGAGGATCTTCTGCAGGGCGCATCATGGCTTCGAGTGCGGATCCGCGGCAAGAACCCTCTGACCCCCCCCTGTGTTCGGCATTTTTCTGCAGAGCTTTGTTGGGCCATGTTCGCAGCCCTAGAGGCCCTATAGGTTCCGTCATGAAACGTGCCGCAAAGCAGGCACCACACTGAGCAAAATTGAGCCGAGAGGGGGGTGTAGGGTTTTCGTGTGAGATCGGTTCCTCTTCCTTTCGCAGTACCCAATTTTGGGGGTATTGATGGCAAGGCAGCCGCCACGATTTAGCTTGTCTAATTGCCCTTACTGACAAAGCAACGGACACCTTGACCAGTCAATGTCTGCCCAAGATATCCAGTATCAAAGATCGACGTGAAGTAGGGTTTATATTCCTTGTATCCCCAAAAGGACACCCAGTATATACACTCACCAATACCAAAAAGGAACCTTTTATACACTCAGCAAGAATAGAAATATCAACCCTATTTCACATACTGCAAGGGAAAAGCGACCCGCTCATGCTTGACCATCTCTGAACATCCCCTGCGTCGCCTTGGCCAGCTTACCTGTAGGATCGCACAGCGGCTCCTTCATACCTGAGATATGGCAACAACGAGCACTATCATAATACAACCTCCGAATAGCCGAATACCACTGACATAATCACACAACGACATACTAATTTTCTACATGTGATCCTGAAATAATCTCACACTTTCCAGTATATAACAATCATAGAAATTCTAACCAAAGCACAATATCAGAAAATCACATAAAGCACACCAAAATGTGATAATCAGATGATAACCCATAATACAATAAGACTGCGCGAATCTACTTTCAGTTCTGCTGACTGAACGCTCACGGCTGGAAAGGGCAGGGTTGATACAGTCATGGTGCCCGAGTTTAGGGTTTTAGGGTTTACGGCCTTGATGGGCAGCTCTCATGTATCAAACAAGGCATTCGCGCGCCTGGCGTTTCAGACCCTACAACCTGCACGTGAAAATCTGTCTTTCGAACTGCCTGGCAGTGACTTTCGGGGCATCATTGAGTACCATAGACAAGCCATAGACAAGCTTAGACAAGCTTTGAGGCTTCTTTAGGAACTGACGTGAGTACGCGCCGGGGCGCAAACACGCGCCCCGCTTCACACAAACCTATGCTGCTACCACTGGACTCATGTCATGTTTTCATGGCGGGGCACTCGTGATGTCGCTGACGATCTGTTTCGCCAAGGCTTTGTCAACCTCAAGCACAACACGGGTGCTCGAGAGGCTCGAGAAACTCCGCCCCGGCATCTCGGTACACTTCCGATGCCTCTTTGGCCCCTAAACCCTAAACCCTAAACCCTAAACCCTGAACCCTGAACCCTGAACCCTAAAGGTTGGAACTGCTCTTCTATATCCCGAGGCACCTCCTCCAATGCTACCAAGCTTCGGTTTTCGCAGCCGCTCCAAGTCCAAGCGAACCCTATAAATTTCCAAAGGCCCAAAGCCCACACCGAAACAGAAGCATCCCTAAACCCTAAACCCTAAACCGCCCCGTGACTCGCGTCACACGAGGTCCCGGCCTTCATCACTTTTAACCTGGGCACAGCCTACCTCTTGGGGTTTAGGGTTTGGGGTTTAGGGTTTAGGATCTGGTCCCTATGCCTCAATAGGACTTGGTAGATGACCCCAATTGTAGGGCTTTCACATGTTTTCACAAGGGTTCATGTGGTCCCCAAGGGACAGATACAGGTTGCGAGCCACACACAAACCCTGCGCAAGGTTGGTTTAGGGTTTAGGGGCTCAGATTCCACAATCCCTGCTGGTGGGTGTTTTTCATCGGTTTCGGATGGCTTTCTTCAGATGGCTCGAAGAGACTTAATGTTGCACCCGCAACATTCTAGGGGGACGCTATTATGAAAAGTTTTCCGGCTATTCAGGATCTGGACCCTCTGTTTTGGGGGTCCGCAATAATGAAAAGATTTCGGGCCGGGCCTGTTTTTTTTTAAATGGTTTTTGAGTCAAGTTCCCAGATCCCAAATTAAGAAGAGAGCTCATTTCTCTGCCCCCCCCCCACCCCCCCCGACTGTTTGGGGTCTTTTTTTATTCAGGGTCGCGACTGTTGAGGGGGGGGGGGGGGGGGGGGGGGGGGGGGGGGGGGGGGGTAACTTATTAAAGCAGGTCCAACATTATTCGTGCTTAGGGATGCTGTAGTGGAGATGCACTTTGGAAGAGAAGTCGTGCTGCAAGGTCCTCTCATGCACTGCACGCAAGAAATCCTCTGCATGTATGCATGTATACATACTGTATGTATAACATGTATATTGTACATTCTTGTGGTCACAAAGATGTATGTACAAGTCGTTGCGCGTGAAGGCGTTGCAAGGCAAGCGGCCACCCTATACCCGCAATCCGTGCTGTGAGACATAGGACTGTTCTGAGGCCGGCACAAACAGAACCCTAAACCCCATAAGCCCTGAACCTTTCGCTGGCTCTTAAGTGCCCGGCTGCTTCTCGACGCACTTCATCATCAGTTCAAAAATCTTCACTGTGACGCCCAAGCCTGGACTCGGGGTTGAATCCCCTCCCCCCTCCCCTCCCAACAGCAAGCGCCCTTCTCAGAAGCATGACGAGATATGCACCCTGAACCCTATAAACCCTAAAACCAACATGTCTTGCCTTCACAGAGACGCTGACTCTGCTTGGGGGCCATGGGATGTAGGAGGTTTAATCGCTCACGCTCGGACAAGCTTGGGGTATACCCTAAAACGCCCGAAGTAAACGCCTAAACATCAAGTTGACATCGCCTGTGTGCGCCAGGAACAGGTCTGGCCCTCTGTAGGCCTTCCAGGAAACTGAAGGGGGGGGGGGGGGGGGGGGAACTACTCTCTGATGGAGTGATCTTCCCACAAGCTTAGGCAGGCAGTCTCTCCTCAAAGGTTGGAGGGCCCGCTGGAACAGCATTGCGTTTAGGGCTGACTCGGTTTCACAGCTTAGGGTTCCGGACACCAAGCAGACAATTGTTCATGTCACAGTGATGTTTCGGGGCCTGTCCCCCCCAAAGACCGCCGAGGTAGTCGACCGTTCGTTTCCTGCGGTGATCATCTAGTCGCCCCTTCAACCTCCATGCCCGAACTTTGCAACCGAGACGGATCCAGGGTTGAGGTCTGGCAAGAGAATGAGAGCAAAGCAGTGCATGGTCATTGTTATTCTTTTTATTATTGTTATGTTTATTAAGTATTCATTATTAATTACGACTTCTATTGCCATAATTTATTGTTGTTATTACTATATAGAACGACGAGATCCAACTTGCGGGTTGCTGCATTGCCTTCATTCGGGAGGCAAATCAAGAAAGCCCCGCCATTCCCCACAAGCTCGGCCAAGGCGCTTTAAATGCACCAGGTTCCTGTTCTCAAAAAACTTCTTCATGTCCTTGTCCTTACGGCCGCACTTCGAGAACAATGCAGGGTTGCCAGCTTCAAGCATGCTGGTAAACACCGCATTTTGCAGTGGAGCAGGGAAGATCCAAACCCTAAACCCTAAACCCTACACCCTAAACCCTAAACCTAAACCCCCCCCCCCACCCAACTCTGGGTCTCATGTTATGACCCTGTACTGCTAACACCCCTACCGGAAATGACCAGAAGTCCTCTGAGGGTTCATATGTAGTCCCCAACCTATGGGGTCTTCCAAGGTAGGATTTGGGGTTTAGGGTTTAGGGTTTAGGGTTTAGGGTTTAGGGTTTAGGGTTTAGGGTTTAGGGTTTAGGGAGACTCTTGGATGTGCCCAAGAGCTCTGAAGTAGGACCAAACTCGGATCCCTAAGACCCAAAAGCCCCATGAGCCCCCTTTAATCCCCAATGAGTTTCGCATTTAGGGTTCTTACCGGGCCACATGTCTACATCGCGGACTGGTGGTCCCCCCCCCCCCCCAAGATTCTCCTTTCCCCCTTAGTTCACAGCGTGACTCTACTCAGTGCAACAAGGCCACGGGCCGATTTGGTTCAAGGCTTCGGGTTGAAAGTGTGGGGATTTGTGGGGGGGGGGGGGGGGGATGATGATACCCTATACGGTCTATACGGGCATAGTACCTTACCTTAAGGGAGCATTAGGGTCGCAGGTAGGTTCGTAGGGTGAGGAAGGGAGGCACAGTCACTTGCATTTTTTGGAGGTTGCAGGGCTTAAGAGTTTGGAAAGCTTTTCGGCTGCATTCGACGAACTCTTGCAAATGACTGTGCATCCAAACCCTGAACCCTGAAACCCTGAAACCCTGAAACCCTGAAACCCTGAAACCCTGAAACCCTGAAACCCTGAAACCCTGAAACCCTGTAACCCTATAATGCCCCGAGCACATGTGCCAACGGTGGGGGAGGGCACTTACTGTTCCCGGACCAGGGCTCCGATGCCATCATGTTGTAGAAGCCATCCACGAACTTTACAAGTGCCTCCTCGCAAGGGAGGGTGTAGGGTTTAGGGGTTCAGGGCTAGGGTTGAGGGTTTATGAATCAGGGTTTAGGGTTTTCAGGGCTTTTTCGGGTTTTGAGGGTTTTTGGTAGCCCAGTAACAATATTATAGTCAGGGCACCCTTTTCTGTTGTTCTGGACTTACGATTTTGGGTTTCGGGTTTGGGGTGCAAGCTCCACAAACAACGAAGGCAACATAAGATCGTGCTCTTTTCAGGACTGAGAACTCCTAGGCGTTACCTTCTCACACGACGGCAAGCATGGGACGTCGGGCTTCCATGTCCCGCTTCCCCCGGCACCTGACCCCCTAGCTTCTCGAAGACGCTGTCTGGTCCACCTGACAGTGCAGAAACCCAAAAGCTCTCAGCATCTTCAGACGGGCCTCAACAATTGGCATCATCACCCCCCCCCCCCCCCCCCCAAGATGCTTGACTTCCAACTCTGACTGGCAGAGCATCTTCGGGGAGCCCCCCTGCTCAAAGCAAGTCTTTCACATGGCGCCTGGATGCTCCAAGTAGTGAAGGCCCACATTCGCGATGGCTTGAGGCATGGCAAAGAATGTGTCGCAAGGTGTTCCTAGACAGCTCATGGTGGTCTCTTGGGCTGGAAGGTGGGGTGTGGGAGTGTAGGGGCCGCTCCGAGCCGGGCAGCCATCTGGGCAAGATGCTACATATATATGATCTGATCTGAGCATGAGCCAAAATATGCCCAAGAAGCACGTAACCCTGCAGCATGTCTATACACAGCAGCCCTAAGGCCCTAAGGAGAAGAGGAAGTCATGGCAAGACACTCCTTCTCAAAGAGGTATGGATGCATCCCCAAATATCCCAGAATAAAAGGATTGTCAGGCTCTGGCACACACCTATGGTGCCCTATACTCCCTATGGACCCCAGTGTACCTGGTACCTGGCCACAATACACAGCTATCTTACATAGGGTTATTCTCTATACGGGCCCTAGTGGGGGGGGGTTTCCAGAGTGGTCCCTGTAAACTAAATAAACCCAGGAAGGGAAGATATGAACTCTCACAAGGGCCTAGCCAGTACCAACAGCTATAAACGTTACAACCGCCATGAAAAGAAGTAAGTGCACTCCAGTCCGAACCGTCTATCATCGTAGTTAGTGGTAATACCCGCGCGCCCAACCCTTACTACACCCTAAACCCTACACCCAGATGCTGAGTACCCTGGCCCAAGAAAGGTTAACCTTTCAATGCTGGTAGGATTGTATATGCCTCAAAAAGGTCAAAAGGTTATCTACTCAGCTACTAAGTATAAAGTAACAGCCCCTAAACCCTAAACCCTAAACCCTAAACCCTAAACCCTAAACCCTAAACCCTAGACCCGAAGCTTCTGATTCGGGCCATCCGGAACTGGGAGCCCGTGGGAGCTGGTCTTCTTTTGACGCCCGCTTTGCTTTGAACCTGGGGGACCACGTGTACCCGAACCATTGGGGATTCATAGACCCTTTACGAGTATAAACCCTATTAAGGTAATATAATTCCTATTGAGGCAATCCAATTCTTATTTCCTGGTTCAGGTCCTATAAGCCCTCAACCCTTCTAGGGTTCATTTGGTCCCCACGGAACGGATGAGCTTCGTCGGGCCGTTCTCCGCCGTCTACCGGGGTACGGGCTGAGGGTTTTCTGGGGTTCAGGGGTTGTAGGGTATGGGCTTAGGTTTCCTGTTGCTTTTTTTTCACTCCTGGGTTTAGGGTTTTTAGGGTTCGGGGTCTATGGGCTTCGTTTTTGAGGTCAGAGTGTTTTTGGCACCCGCAGGTTAAGGTCTAGGGTTTAGGGTTGATGGCTGCGCACCAGCACTACCTCCAAGCGGACGCGCCCAGCAGAAGCAGAGCGACAGAGGCACCTACCCTGGCGCGAAAGGACGGTTTAGGGTTTAGGGTTTAGGGTTTAGGGTTTAGGGTTTAGGGTTTAGGGTTTAGGGTTTAGGGTTTAGGGTTTAGGGTTTAGGGGGTTCCGAAAATGGGGGGGGGGGGATCTGGGGTCGGAAGAATGAAGAATTACTAATACTACTCCCTCATGGCCCCTTTATATTTATACTAATTCATACTGTGATACCCCCCAAAAACCGTGTTCTAATTATTAAGGCCCCTATGTGGTTTACTACTTTTTGGGGGGCCCCTTTAAGGGGATTCTATTCTATTTGGCGCAATAGAAGGGGCACCCCTATTTTGGGAAATGCCCACATGGCCTTGACCAAGGTTTGCCAAAAAGCACAGCTCATTGTGCCATGATCTCACGGGTTGCCCTACCCCCCCCATTCCCCCCGCCCCCCCCCCCCCCCCCCCCCCCCCCCCCCCCCCCCCCCCCCCCCCCCCCCCCCCCCCATAATTCAGGCTATTTAGGGGTAATGAAGCCTAATTGCGGTCATTTACGCGGGGAACCCTTGGAGGGTCGTCTAGAATGGGGGTCGTAGAAGAACCTATGATGATCGCTTCTTGTAGAAAATGGTCCGGCTGAGGGGTGCGCAGCAGAGGAGGACTCCAAAGCAAAATGAGAGTCTCTAGTGCCTCACATCTTAGTTGCCGAGTACAGTCTGGGCCCAAATCAAGTTAACCTTTCAACCATGGTAGGAGTATATATACCCGAGAAGGTTCAAGGGCACCCACTCAGCTACTAAGACCAGGCATGCTGGAGCCTAGAAACCCTGAACTTCCTATGAGCCCCAAACCTGAACAAGCTCGACAGCCCGACTTGACATGGCTTCACATACGTACCCGCGTGCCTTGCAGCGGCATTGCAATCGACATCACAGCCTGCGTGGCATTAAGAGGCCCTAGGCCTGATATCCCCTCAATCTTACGCCTGCACCTTGTTTCAACCCTCAACCCCAAACCCTGCTAGGTCCCATTCCGGGACATGGCCCCAGTAGCCTGCTTCCAGGGTGCTAAGGCTTCTGGGGCTGAGGGTTCAGGGTAGTTCATTAGGCTCGAGGTTTGGTTTACATTTAGTAGCTCTACAATCGTTCACACTGGGGCAAAGCGGGTCGTTGAGAGTTTGGAGGTATAGAAAAAACTCCGCCTGACAATGCAGACTTCGCCGCTTCACACGCCGTCGTCCTCGGCGGCCCAAGCAGAAAGTGAAGGAATGCAAGCCCTGTTGGGACCGCCCGGCTTGAGGGAGCTGCTGCTGGCGAGACCCCATCTGCCAAACTGTAAGACTTGGCTGGTGCTGGCTTACTTCTTTACATCATGAAATGTCGGATGATCGTGTTCCTCTACATCGGTCTGTGCCCGTATCAGAATACCAGCCGTCCTCAGAAGTACACAGTTGCATATTATGCGAAGTTAGCTGCGATCCCTGTCTGTGGTTCTTCATATGTATGCACACAATACGGCTTCTTCAGATGCACAGGGCTGCTCCACCCTAAACCTTCAACTTAACACTTTCGAACCGCGAGCTGAGTATGCAACTGCCTGAGCAGGGAATGCGACTGCACCATCGCAAACGATGCCACCTAAACCCCTAAACCCTCAACCCCATTCCCTGCCAGGCCGCTGTGAGGCGAAGCAGGTCGTGGTGACCTTCCCGTTCCCAGCCCCCGGCTCCCCCCCTAACCTCCTCCCCCCAAACCGCTGGGTTGACCTGGGTTCCGGGTTTTAGGGTTTAGGGTTACCTGGGTTCGTTAAATGAGTTTACGTAGAATAAAGGGATCCTAACATTCAAGAGCAAAGGGATCGTGCGACCGGCTTTGGCTTTCCGAGAGTACTATGTTGGGCCGGCCCCCCCCCCCTTGTAGGGTTTTGTCGGGCTTGGGACAGGTAGCTAGGGCGCGACCGACAGGCTTTGATTGACTACGCTTGTCTTTTGAGATAAAGTTGTAGGAACCACGGTAGCATCCCCTGGAACAATAGCTTGCATGTGCCTTCTTGCCTGCAGGAAGAATGGCATTGTGCCTTAGAGGAACAGCATTCGCTGCTTGGCCACGAACTGAAGTTCTGCTTGGGAAAATACGGGAATACTGCCTGCCTGAAACAATCAACGTTGCGGCTCCGCAGAGCCTTGAAATCCTCGACAATGCCTTGCAAGCGCGATTTGCAACGGATGGCCTCGACTTCCGGACAGTTGGTACCTGAGCAGCCGTGGAAGACTGAAGTTATAGAACAGCACTGGTTCGCGACTGCCTCTGACACCATGTGATTCAGGTCACAAAAATCTCATGGCTTGACTGTGACAGTCCTTGAGGACCAAATGATCCCCTACCTTGGGGTCATATACCCTATGCTACAAGAATTCCCAGTAAGGTAGAGGAACCCTAAACCCTTTAAGGGGTTCATGTGGTCCCCAAGGGCGGTGGCACCTCTTCTCCTCACATACGCTTCACAGGTGGGCAGATCTAACAACCCCTTCTGTCTTTGTCCCAAACCTTGGGGATTCCAATTTTTGGGCCTCATGTGGTCCCCAAGGAACAGACCGTCTTCCCAGGAGACCAAACCTAGCAGACCTTCGAGCCAGGTAGCAAGACTTGCGCTCGGCTGGGCGCGCTGGACTGCTGCAGTACGTGTGACACTTCCAGTCCTTGGGGATGCACCCTAAACCCTAAACCCTAAAGCCTGAGCTGCTAATTTGTGTTTGGGGGGCCTAATTTAAGGATCATAAATATCTGAAACTACAATCTTCAGGTATTCATGCCCCAATCCCTAAACCCTCTTCAAGCTCATTTCGTCCCCGAGGAGCTTGGGGCTCTCCTTGGTGCTGTACTTCCCTTTTTCTAAAGCTTCAAAAACCACTTGTCTTTGAGGAGGGTTTAGGGTTTAGGGTTTAGGGTTTAGGGTTTAGGGTTTAGGGTTTAGGGTTTAGGGTTTAGGGTTTCGGGTTTAGGGTTTAGGGTTTTTGAAAGGTTGCCAGAAGCATGGCAAAAAAAGCTTCGCTGTACTGACTGGCAACATCAAAGAGCTCGAAACCTTCCTAGCGTACTCTTCTGGTCATGTAACAATTCTAGTAGAACGATCTACGAGAATGACATCAAACGACAAGGCTGGCCCAAATGAAAGCTCGAAAGCCTCGTACAACCAAAGCCCACCAACTCCGACACCCGAAAGCGCTGTAGGGCCCCGGCCCCACCCCAAAACCTTGAGGTCTTTGGGGTTTAGGGTTTGTAGGGCTTAGTTTAGGGTTTGGAGGGAACCCTTCAGGGGCCATAGTCAGGAACTGGGTTTAGGGGTTCGGGTTAAAGGGGCCAGAAGAAGGGACAACACAAGTCCACCTAGATGGCTCCACAAGCGTCATCGCAGCTCCAGCCGGAATGGTTCCAAGAGCCTGGGTCAGGACAGCGCGCGGCCTCCGGCTGAGACGAAAGGGACTTAGGCCTTTTGAGGACGTGTTTAGAAGCTTTGGAGTTGAAGGGGGCGGGTGGGGCTTCACTTTGGGTTCTTGAGAGGGTTGTTGGGGTAATGCTCAACGTTTTGGCATTCAACGTTTACTGTAGGGTTTGGGGTGTAGGGTTCAGGCCGATGCTCAGTAGAAGAAACTTAGTATGCAGTGCCCAGCTGCATTGGCTTTGGGGGTGTGCTCCACATGCCGGCCACTGC